GCTTGCTTCTATGTATCTTAAAGGGATTGCTCAAGAATGGTACCAATCTTTAAATGATACCCAAACTGCTACTTTTTTTAGAACTGATAATGCCCAAGCCCATAGTTTTTATCATATGTTTAAAACTCGCTTCTCTACTCCTACTCAACAAGCTGCCTAACAAAAACAACTCTTTGATATTTAGCAAGAAGCAAATTCTGTTGATGCCTATATTAATCATTTTAAAAAGCTTCGTAATTAAATTGATCCTAATGAAAAATTCCCAAGAGATTTTATTAAACAACTTTTTATTTAAGGTCTTCAACCTGACTTGGCTGTCTATGTACAAGCATCTGACCCTGCAGATGTAAGTGCTGCAATTGAAACAGCCAGAAGATAGAAAACTAGAAAAATATTAGCTTCTGAATCTACTAGTAAAGTGGAGAACATGATTCAAAATTTAATTAATAGTCCTAAGAAAATGAGTCTTAATTTGGTTTAACAAAATAACAAGATAGAAGCTTACACTATTGAAAATAGTTATAACCCAAATAATCAAAACCAAGAAAGAAATAGAAAAATCAACCCAAATATTCACTGTTTCTAATGTAACAATATTGGACATGTTGTAGCACAATATCAACTTGATAGAGGAAGAAACAATTTCTATCAAAATAGAAATTTCAGAAGAAGATCCAGATCAGGTCTTCGAAATTATAGAAGAAATCTATCTAGGAGTCAAGAAAGATACAAGAGGAATATTCGAGATTATAATCGATATGATAGAAGCAGATCAAGAGATTATAATCTATATAATAGAAGTAGGTCTAGAAGTCAGTCTAGAGACTGAGAAGTCTGTTATAAATCTTTTATTCGTCAATATAACAACTTAGCAGACAATAAAGAAGCTACTTTTACCAATTATTGGGATACTCTTTTAAATAATACTAGTATTAGAGGAGCTTTAGCAAATTATCTGCAAGGTGACTCCAATATTGTAAATCTGGTGCACTCTAACAGACCACAAACTATTCTTATAAAGTATCAAACAACTATTCGTAATAAACCATTTACCGCTATTATTGATAGTGAAGCTGCTATTAGTATAATTACCTAACAAGCTGCCAAAGAAATTGGACTGGAAATAGACACTCCTTCTAATAGTTTAATTTTATCTGCATTTGGAAAACAAGTTAGACTTCTAGGTGTTATTAAGGATATTCCTGTAGAAATTGCAGGAATTATTATTCCTATCTCTATAGAAGTTGTACCAGCAACTACTTACTCTCTTATTTTGAGAAATGATTGATCTCGCAAAGTAGAAGCCCAATATAATTAGAAAACTAAGAAATATATTATGTATTGGGACAGTCATCATATTATTGTACCTACCACCTATGAGTATAACCAGGCTATAGAAGGGCAACCTATAGTCAGTAAAGTAGATGATGACTGAGAAGAAGAATATGAGGATGAAGAATTAATTTCTCATAAAGCCTATACTTTAGAAGCAGAATCTAATAATATTGAAGATCCAAGATAGACTATATATTAACGAAAACCAAGAATCTCTCGCAAGAAAAACCAGAGATGTCGGACATGTGGACAAACTGATCACTACTTTGAAGATTGCCAATACAACAAATGTTGGTGATATGATGAGTATGGACATATTGCTATTAAATATCCTTACCAAAAATCTAAACATACTACCTGTGCTAATTGTGGTTAATCAAGTCATCAATTTAAGGATTGTCCAGAAAATGAATATAGAAAATATGATAACAAAAGACATATTAGTGCTAATTGTCCTAAAAGTAAACTTGAACAAGAAAATAAAAGATATCAATGTGGTTGTAATGAAGAAGAAGTTGCTAACCAAAAAGTATATTATCATAGTCAAAAGAGGAAATATTACTGCTGTCAATACAAGTATCCCCAATTTGGTAATGAATTAATGCTACTAGAAGGGACTCTAGTCTGCAAAGCATGCTATAAGGACTATCATAAAAATTTGAATCAAGAAGACCTCAGGAGCCATTATTATTATAAACAAAGATTAAGAAGAGGTACTTTAGTTAAATGCATAGTATGTGAAAAAGAAAATCCTAAACACAACATGCATAATTTGCCAAATGGAACTTGGTTCTGTAGTTTTGAGCATATGTATACCTACAAAGCTAGTGAAGATATCAAGTATAATCTAAACTATGACTTGTGGACCAGAATTAAGCATTATATTGAGTCTAATAAAAGTGCTGGAAGTTATTATAATATGAACCAAGATAGTATTTATCAGTTAGCTCAAACCTTGCTTGGCATAACATCTCAAAGTGTTGCTCAAGCAGAAGAGGAACAAGAAACAGATAGATTTAATAGAGAGTTTACAAATGAGAAATTAACTCTGCTTTTTCGTGTTGGTAAAATACAATTAACTACTGATAAAGAACAACAACTAAACCAAATTCTAGCTGAGTTTTTTGATCTATCAAATGCTGATTTTGACCATCAACAAGCTATTGCCAACTTGCATACTAATTTTGAAAGCAAAGTAGCTTTATGTTCAGATTATTTGTTTGCTAAACATACTTCTAAACTAGAGCCTAATCAAGATTTTTGTAATGAGTGCTATCAAGAGCAAACAAAGCTATCTATTAGTTCACAAAAAGGAAAAGAACCAGAACAAGAGCCTAAACCACAAGATATTATAAATCAGCAAGCCCAACAAATTTTACAACTTCAAAAAGAAAATAAATGATTAAGCCAGTTATTTTTCTCTTTATATCAGGATCATATACAATTAACCCAATAGCAAGAAGAAAGGAATAGATAACAAAACCAATTTTGGATGCAATGCTTTGCTCAATCTGCATCTGTAGAAGAAACAGAATTCTAGAAGAAAGAATTAAATTTTCAGAAAGTCTATACTATTGGACAGATAGAACTAAAAGAAGAGTACTTATTAACTTCAGAAGATCATATTGAAACAGGTCAACTTACAACTAAACAAGGCAAACAATTTAAGAAATTATTAGATGAATTTGCAGATTTATTTGCCAAGGATATCAATGAACTAGAAAGAACTGATATTGTAAAGTATCAAATTTATACGAAGATATACCTCCAATAAAATCTAGGCCTTACTCTGCTTCTTTAGATAAACAAGCATTTATTGAAAAAGAAATTAAAAGAATATTAGAAAATAAGTTAATTCGATATTCTAAAAGCCCTTGAACTTCACCTGTGGTTCTTGTCAAAAAAAGAATAGAAAATTACGGTTTTGTGTAGACTATAGAAACCTTAATAATATTACTAAAAAGGATGCTTATCCCCTTCCTCATATTGATGAAATGCTCAATGCTTTGTCAGGAGCTAAATGGTTTTCTACCTTAGATCTTGCTAGTGGGTACTGGCAAGTAGAAATAGACTCTAAGGATAAGGAAAAGACTGTGTTTGTAACTCGTTATAGTATCTATGAATTCAATGTTATGCTATTTGGTCTTTGCAATGCACCTGCTATATTTCAAAGACTTATGAATCATGTTTATCAGGATATCAATTGGAAGTTTGTAGTTGTGTACTTGGATAATACTAATATCTTCTCACAAACTTTTGAGGAATATTTGAATCACCTTCGAATTGTATTCTAAAAGATCAGAAAAGCAGGTCTTAGACTTAATATTAAAAAAATGCAAGTTTTGGATAACATCATTACCTTTTCTTGGTCATATTGTAAGTGAAAAAGGAATTGTATCTGACCCCAAAAAAATAAAAGCTGTTCAAAACATTGCTTCACCTACTGGGATTACCAAACTTCGGTTATTTTTAGGACTAGCTTGATATTACCAACAATTTATTAGTAACTTTTTAGCTATTGCTAACTCTTTAAATAAATTGCTTCAAAAGAATGAACCTTATGAATAGAAGGCTAAACAACAAAAAGCTTTTGAAGAGCTTAAACAACAGTTAGTCACTGCCTCTATTTTTGCATATTCTAACTTTAAAAGAAGGTTTATTTTCGCTGTAGACTCCTCATATCAAGGATTTAGAGCTACTCTTAGTCAAAAAGATAATAAGGGAAAAGAACATCCTATTGTTTATACTAGCAAAAGTCTTAGAAAAGAAAAACAAAACTATGCTGCTACTGAACTTGAATGTGCTGATATTGTGTGGGCTATAGAACACTTCTACAAATATCTTGGAACTTCTGTTTTTACTCTTGTTACAGATCACTCTGCTCTTTAATAGTTAAAAACAAAAGAACCAAAAGGAAAGTTTGGTCGATAGATCATGAAACTGCAACCTTATAATTTTGAAGTTCTTCACAAACCTGATCATATTCACTCTAATGTTGACACTTTATCAAGACTTAAGTCTAGAACCAGTAACTCAAACACCACCTCTACATTATAGATTTAAATCTTTATCAATACTTGATAGACTATTTAGAAACAGGCAAATTACCTTTATATTATATAGAAACGGAAAAGAAGAAATTTTTATCTCATACTAGATATTTTTGTACAAGAAACAGACTATTATACAAAAAAACTAGAAAGGACCCAACCAAACTTCTACATGTGATCAAGTAGAATGAAGTTGAACCAGTATTGTTTATGATATATAATTATTCTACTGCTGGACATTTAGGTGTTGATGCAGTATTTAGAAAAGTGATAGAATGATATTATTGGGATAATATGTATGAAGATATTAGAAACTATATTCAAACTTGCGATACTTGTCAACGACGAGAAAAGAATCAGAAAACAGATCGATTACATCCTATTCAAGTAGAAAAAGCTTTTGAATAAATTGAAATTGATCTGGTTGAACCTTTATCTATTACTTTGCAAAACTATCGATATATTATTGTTACTACAGAGTATTTAACTAAGTGGCCTGAAGCTAGAGCTGTACCTGATGCTAGTGCATTTGTACTTGCAAAATTTATTTTTAAGGAAATAATTTGTCGACATGGAGTACCCAAGATTATACTATCTGATCAAGGATCTAACTTTAGAAGTAACTTGATCAAAATCTTGTGTGAACAGTTTTTAATTAAGTATCACTTTTTATCACCATATCATCTACAAACTAATGGACTTGTAGAGCGATTTAATAGAACACTTTGTGAATCTCTGGCTAAAGTTAAAGATTCTGATGATTGGGATACTCATCTTAATACAGTTCTTTTGGCCTACTATACAAAAAAGCATGATATTACTGGATATATTCCTTTCTAATTACTATATGGAAAGCAGGCTACTCTTCTAATTAAAACTATTCTGCCTATACAAGAAACAAAAACTGATAAAATTGATCTACAAGGAAATATATTACAATGAGCCTATGAACTTATTGACAAGCTATCTACTGCTTACGAACAAGCTCAACAAAATATTGCCAAATCACAACAAAACAAATTGCTTGGTATAACAAAAAGTTCAAGTATCATGACTTCAAAATAGGAGATTTGGTTCTTGTTGTATGCTCTGATATTGCTACATCAAGATTAATAAAGTTTAAAAAGAAATTTAAAGATTCTTATTATATACATCAGAAATTAGGAAATGGTACTTACAAACTACGAACTAAAGAATATAGCCAAGTTCTCAAGCCATATTTTAATAGTCAATAACTGAAACTATACTATAATTGGATTTTATTTGAATCTACAATTATTATAAATTAAAAACAGAATATTAAATTATTAACTTAATAATTTATTCGTTAATTTTTATTATTTATTTATTATTTACTACATTATTATTACAACTTATTATCATTATTATTATTATTATTATTATTATTATTATTACTATCATTACTATTATTAACATTATTATTATTATTCTACAAACTAATATAAAACATCGTTAAAATGGATTTATCAGATCTGGAGAAAAGAAGAAGCTAATAGGGTTTCCATAATACTGTAATACCTGTCAATAATTTTGTATTTCTGCCAGGAGGCACCAAATGTTATAGCGGTACTCAAAATATAAGACAATATTGACAGATATAGAAAAGTTTATTTTAACAATAAGATTATACAAATAAGTTATACAGATAGTATAGGTAATACAAGTAGTACAGGTAATACAATTCACATTACAAGAGAAGGGTACAGATATTAGATAGCCAATCCAATATCCAAGGGAAGATAGGAATTGTAGGAAAGATATCTACAGGAACTAAGGGGAAAACCTCACTTTATATATCTGTTGAAGTGGCATATACTGGTACACACCAAGTGGCATATGCTGGTATACAACCATGCGGCAGGTAGTATACACTGGCATACAACCATATAGCAGGTGGCATACACTAGCATATGGCATACACTAGCATATGGCATACAGTGATATACACTTCTAACTATTCTATTCTAATAAAATATATATTAAATAATATAATTTAACTAATACAAAATATAAAATATAAAATATAAAATATAATATATATAATATGAAATACTATTCTATAAACTATTTGTACAATATTATAAACTCGTAGTGTAACAATATGAAGAATAAGACAGATATGATAGAGTATAATAGAAAAAAAAGTAAGCAGTTACAAGTAGAAATTGATGATATTGATGATGGAAAAATGAAATGTAAAAAGAATAATTATGTAAATGGTAAGAAAAAAATAAAGATTAATAAAATGATTAAGAATAATGAAAAAAGCTTGAAGAAAAAGAAAAGCAAAGGAAAGGTGAACACTTACTTGAAATCTGAATTAGAAGAATATTTAATTGTAGAAGAGTCTTGCTGGAGAACTTGTGGAGAATTATGAGAA